CCATATTAGATGCTGGGAATCGAACCCGGTTCGGCTGCTTGCAAGGCAAACTTACCTTACTCTCTGTGCTATCGCTCCAGCCCCATTTTAAAAAATTTTTTTAAAAAAATTTAATTTAATCTTATTTTTTTACTACTCTATTTTTATATTAGTATCAAAATTGAGTTTTAAAAGGTCATAAAATAAAGGCAAAAATAGATATCAGTAACAAGCTCCCCATGACGTATTCGATATGCCAAACACAGTAACAACAAAGTCTCCAATGGAGATGTTACTGGGCCCGCTCGAGCAAATCGATGATCAATGGGAGGGCCTTTACTTTACTTACATATATATATACATATACATATACACATATACATATATATACACACACACACACACATATATATATATATTTGGGCTGGAGCCGTAGCACAGCGGTAGGGCGTTTGCCTTGCAAGCAGCCAACATGGCCGACCCGAGTTCGATTTCTCCGCTCCTCTCGGAGAGCCCGGCAAGCTACCGAGAGGATCTCGCCCGCATGGCAGAGCCTGGCAAGCTCCCCGTGACGTATTCGATATGCCAAACACAGTAACAACAAAGTCTCCAATGGAGACGTTACTGGGCCCGCTTGAGAAAATCAATGAACAACGGGAGGACAGTGACAGTGACAGAGAAAAAAAAAGGCAAGAATGGAGGAGGAAACCATTTCTGGTCTCCTTTCTTCCTTCAGAAATTTACTCTGAGAGTCCAAGTGAAGTGCAGTGGGTAAGGTGCTTGCTTTACACACAGCTGACCCAAGTTCGATCCCAGTCATCCCATATGTTCTCCTCAGCACTGCCAGGAGTGATTTCTGAGTGCAGAGCCAGGAGCAACCCCTGAGCACTGTCAGATGTGTTCAAAAAATTCAAAAGAAATTTACCCTGATATTCTTTTTGGGAGGTAAAAACTTTCCTTATGTTCACTGATTTCTCCTCTGACCCTCCAACAGAGGCTGCACAGAGACAGTCAGTAATGATGTATTAAAGGAATGCGTGGGTTTAGCAGTCAGGAAAGATTTCATGGAAGGGAGAAGAGTGTAAGACACTTTAGTTTCTTTCTCTTCCTTCGGCTGTTGTGATGATCCAGGATCATACCACTTGCACATGCTGGTTTAGTGCTAGCTGGGGTCACGTGGCTGACAGGGCTTTTCCTGCTGTCCATGATCCAGAGCATCTTTAGTTGTGGTCCTTTCTGCCGGATGCACATCTTTGGCTGCTTTGTGCCCACACACCTGAAGTAATACTTTTGAGACTGTACACTCTGTACACCAGACCCTGGTCCCTGGTCCTTGCTCAGCACCTGCGGGCTACTGTAGGGATAGTTCTCAGACTTATATTTGGAATCAGGCAATTTTCCACTTAGTCATTCCCTGGGCCCTCCTTAATCAGAGTGGATATAAAAATATGTGCTAGAGAAGGAAGGCGTCAAGAATATAATATTAAGGTCAATTTTGGGAGAACTATGTTGGCTAACGTGAGGAGTTAATGCAGGAAAATCCCCACATAGTGTCAGAAAAATATGTGTGGGGGGTACATTTTGGAGGACACTGGATTTCTGACCTGAGTGGGCAGTCTAATGTATGCTGAACTTAGGACCTGATTCATAAAGTAAATCAAATCAGTGACATACTCTCACCTCTCAAGCCCACTTTTTGAAATTTTGAAACTACATGCCTGCTTCCTGAAATTTTGTTGCTCACATAGGAGAATTGAGTTAATTTAATTTATTTAATTTATTCTCTGGGTGCACCTAGCAGGAGCTCTGGGTACAATACATATATCATTTTTTAGAACACATCTGGTGGTTCTCAGAGCTTACTCCTGGCTCTGTGCTCAGGGATCACTCCTGGAGGGACTTGGCAGATGATATGTGGTACTGAGATTGAATCCAGGTTGGCTGTGTGCAACACAAATGGCTGTCCCTGTGCTCTCCTTCTGGCCCTCATTTTACATGTATAACTGGCTTGATGGGCTATTTGACAGGAAGCCATTGTAATTTTCTGATACATATTTTATCAATGTGTGCAACATTAAAGTAATAACATTTGTTTCATTGAGGATATTAAAGAACTACAGACCAATCTTTAATTATAATCTGTGTGTGTGACCTCCAAACAAACCCAGATGAGAATTTCTTAACTGAGGGGTTTTTTTTGCATACCAGCACTTTGAGAGTTTGAGCTTAGTTAACTTAGCAACTTCCATCCAAGGTGGTTTACAGAAATCCTCTCTGAGTGGACCCCACCCTTGGACTGCACCTTGCCACGGGAAGCTATGGCACTTCGGCAAGCCCTCCCCATGCCTAGCTTCCATGCAACCACTGATTTGCTCCTCATCCTCTTCCAGAGCAGCACGAAGTCTTCGGGACAGGCCTCCCTGCCCTGGAGCACGTGATTGGAGCATTTACCCAGGGCTCAGTGGGCATTAGTAGCCGTTAGTAAAAGCTGAGTGCTGTGTTTTATCCTTTACTCCTCAGTTTGTCCTTGGGCAAGTTATTTCCCTTCCCTCAAAATGAGGAATAGATTTGGGACTGGAGAGATTGCTCAGTGTATAAGGTGTTTGCCTTGTGTATGGCTCACCGAGCTTCTATCCCTGGCATCACATTTGGTCCCCTGAGCCTGCCAGGAGTGATTCCTGAGGGCAGAACCAGGAGTAAGTCCTGAGCACTGCTGAGTCTGGCTCTAAAACAAAAATAAAAGTTAAAAAAAAGAATAGATTGGACTTAGTTTGAAATAGTAAGAGCCAATATTTACCGAGCAGTTGCCAACTTCTATGCACTGTGCCAGACCCTTGAAACAGACCTCTGAGGCTTGTGCCCTACCCACACATGGAGAACTCCTGTTTGGGGTGGTCTGGGAGGCTGTTGTTTAAGTCTGAGAGTGCCGTTACTGTTAATCTTTTTCTTTTTAAAAAAATTTTTAATTTTAATGTTATTGTCTAGTTATTGTTATTGCTATTGTCTAATAACCTGTTGTCCTGTTCTCGCTCTCAGAGAACCCATCAGGCTACCGAGAGTATCTTGCCCATATATATGCCTGACTGGGAACACCTGTAAAGGTGATTAGAGGTTGCCCCAAAAGCCTCCAGTCCCTCTCAGAGAGCTCAGCAAGCTGCCAAGAGTATCCTGACCACACGGCAGAGCCTGGCAAGCTACCCGTGGTGTACTTGATATACCAAAAACAGAAACAATGATGGTCCTCATTCCCCTGACCCTGAAAGAGTCCCAATATGCTATCAGGCTACACTAGCACGTGACAGGGACAAATGGAGACGTTACTGGCACCTGCTTGAGCAAATCGATGAACAATGGGGTGATAGTGATAGTGATAGGGCTTAAAAATCATTACATAAACTTGCTTACTTAGTAGATGTCTCTTTTCCATTTATTTAGAGAAGTATATATGTATATATATTGACACATATAAAAGAAAATAGCAATGATTCTGTATCAGAGTCCATCTGCTTGGTACTAGTAAAAAATGAATCATATCACTATATTATAGTTTGCATTATAGGCAAACTTGTTTTAACTTATTTTTAGTCACTTAAGCCACTATTTTCCTGAATTATACTTTTGAATTAGCCTAAATTCTCTGTAGAAGATCAAAGACAAGTAAAAGAAGTTAAACAAACATTTGGTGATCCAGAGATATCTGACAGTCATGTTTACATATATAATTTTATTAATTTATTAAAGTTCATATATATATCTTAGACTATTAAAAATAGACATGATTTTTTTAAAAGGTGAATCCATTAGTGAAAAGAATGGGAGAAAGAGGAAAAGAGAGACAGAGGGAGAGAGAGGAAACCAATGGAGTTTATTGTACAAAAATAGCTGCCCTAAAGACTTACATACTTGCTAAAGGTGTTACAAATTGGACTTGGGTTTGTGCTTTTTGACTTCCACTGCAAAAAAGGAAAAGTGATGAGTTATTTGATTGGCAGTGTTCATGAGATACAAAGAAATCAATTACCCAGGAGCAACCCAGCTAGTTCTGTGGAAGCTGAGGGGAAATTCTCCCAAGAGTCCTCATAAAGAAGACGCGAAACATTTTATTTCAGCGGCAGGTGGGAAGGGTTGGTATTCTCTTATTGAAACGGAGGAATCAGACAAGATTGCCAGCTGCCTACAAGCAGGCTGAGGTGGTAGCTGTGGGCAGGGCCAACACTGTCATTTTCAGTCCATAAATGCCTAAGGAAGAGTCTTGTAATGAACTCTCTAAGATAACCTCTTTGTGTCATAGTATGTGGTTATTATGCTTGTCTATTTGTTTACTGTTTCTTTTCTCAGATTGATTGCAATCTTAAGAAGGATCAGACTTTCCATATATCTTATTCTTTCATCTCCACATAGCATGAAATTCAGTCTATGTTAGGAGTTTTACAAATATTTTGACATATACCAAATAAAGCAATGAAAAGAATTTGTTGCAAAATGTATTTTAAGGTAACAGACTTAGCTTGTTGAAAAAGACTTGTAACTACTTATTAGCCTGTGTACACTAGTTTTCTAGCTATCAGAACATTTGGAATGGTTACCAGAAAAATTGATCTTGGAAGCACTTACAGAAAGACATTCTCCTTGCCAATAATCAGCATCTGATGGCCACTTGCCTGTTGAGTTCATTCCACACAGGAAGTTTTTAGAGTAAGTTTGATAATCCAAAGTTTACTGATGAGAACACGAAAGACAGATATGCACAATTATGAACTTATTTCCACTTATAAAAATCACAGAAATGCATTTTTAAAGCAAGACATTTTCATGAGTTTGCCTGTGGTATACGTGGCAGCCACCTTCACACGCATAGTTAAATCTTAGGCTTTTCTAAAACAATAGAGATGTTTGTGGAAATGAATTACATAGCCAAGTTTTGCTTGCTTCTTTATTGCTTATTGTCCTTTCTGGTGAGAGAGTGAGTAGATGCATTTCTTGGGGTAGCTAATTAAAGTCTGTGTCCTTCCACTCTGCAGGGACACGGAATACAAAGGACTGCAGCTTTCCCTGGACCAGATCTCAGCCTCCAAGCCAGCCTTCTCCTATGCTAGCAGCTCCACTCCTACCATGGCTGACAACAGGAAGGGGACCAAATCCCGGCTCTCTAGTTCCAAATCAAAATCCAGGACATCTCCATACCCTCAGGTAGATGCTTTTACTCTAGTTTTGGACATGGTTTGAAAGTTGGGGGGGGGGTATTAAACCTGTTTGGAATTAATTGTCTGGTTTCAATAAGTTTAATAGTTCTATAAATAAGAAAAGCTTTCAAACACTGTCATTTTACTCTTTGTCCTGTAAAATAACCATGCTAGTAAAAATTTGAAAATGATCTTGTGGGTTTACTGCTTTACTATAGAGATTGTAAGAGTCTCTGTTGCAGTTAGAACTATAACTTGGTTATTTCCAGGAGATAACTATGATCATATTTTGTTTTCTCTCCACCACAATGAACCAGGAATGTGTATCCAGCATAGTGAAATGTAGAAAACAAGAGCTTAATGAGAAAAATGAAATTTTAGGACAGGATCTGAAGCAGAAGGAAATTAAGAGGTAGAGGCAAAGGATCAAGGATTGCATTTTACCATGAGATTTGAGCACAGATGGACTATTTATGAGAAGGAATGAAATAGAGAGGGTCTTCCAGCTGGCAAGAGTGGTAGGAAAAGCAACTCTTTTCTCATCTTTGAAGGTGGTGAGCCAATGAGACCCAGAGGAGATTTTCTAAAAACACTGCAAGGTACAAAGATAAGTCCTGATTCTTGGAAGGCAAATATGTTTTCTGATCAGTCACTGAGATATAGAAACAAGACTTTGTGAACTACTCTTGGTCTGAAGGAAGTAGGAATTAATTGTCTGGTTTCAATAAGTTTAATAGTTCTATAAATAAGAAAAGCTTTCAAACACTGTCACACACACACACACACACACACACATACACCTAGCTGCAATTTGGCCAGAAATCCCTTGCAGTGCCAAGGATCCCAGATCACAAGAGTGTTTAAGGATCACACTTGATGCTCGTGGCATCACTGGGGATGAAGGGGATTGGGCCCTTATCCTTTCAAGAAAGGTTTTTCATATTTCTGACTTAGGCCCTGTGACCCTCAATATACCCTCAATATACCTTTTTAAGTAAAAGTGTCAATTAAGTATAGATATAGAAATGATTATTTCCATTCTTATCAGGGGCTGGAGTGATAGCACAGCAGGTAGGGCCTTTGCCTTGCACGCAGCCAGCCCAGCCATGCCAGGTTCGATTCCTCCTCCCCTCTTGGAGAGCTCGCCAATGCTACCGAGAATATCTCGCCCGCATGACAAAGCCTGGCAAGCTACCCGTGACATATTCAATATGCCAAACACAGTAACAACAAGTCTCAAAATGGAGATGTTACTGGACCCACTCGAGCAAATCGATGAACAACGAGAGGACAGTGTTTGTTTGTTTATCAGAACTATGTGACTGTTAATTTCTATAAGTGTGTGTGTGCTGTTTGAGGAACTATTCATTCTTTCATTGAAGAAATAATCACTAAGAGATACAATTTGTTGGAGATTTCTAGTTATTTCTGTATTCATTTAGGCCATTCAAAAAGTGCTAGGGAACTCAGGAGCCACTTGTGGTGATGCTTAACTCAGCTGTGCAAGCCAAGTAGTTCAATACTTGGATCTGGTTACCCAGAGCTGCTCTGACCCAGTGGTACTGGGGACTACCAGTTCCTTTCTGGCAATGTCTGGAATGGGAACATGCAGTGTAAGGCATCAAACTTAGGGTCTTTTATGTGCTAAACATAAAAGCCTTTATATATTTATAAATGTAGGTCTCTAGCCTTTAGCTCTCTCCCACCCTTATTTACTAGGTAATCTTGAAAGCTTTTCATGGGTAGATTTGTCAGCCTAAATTGAATTTTGGTAAAGCTTATTTTAAAAGCTTGATTATTTTAAACACTTGAACTCTTCCACAGAAAACCACTTTACACTTGACAAAAAAGGAGTCAACCAACATGTGATGCCATGACATTTCTCATTTCATACATTCTGATGAGCACTTTGTTTATAAGGTATATTTTGGTGAAATTCATGGTGGAGTAAAAGTTACTCCTTTTTATTGAATACATAAGGGGAAACCTTTCTTTTATTTTTTCTTTTCTTTTTTTGCAGGGCACGAGAGGTGGGGGGATGGTGGAGGGTTGGGATTATTCCTGGTGGTGCTCAGGGTTTTTACTCCTGGTTCTGAACTCAGGGATCACTTCCGGGGATTGAACCCGGGTCAGCCATGTGCAAGGCATTAACATCTGCTAGCCCTAATATATGTATTTTATTTAAACAAAAAGCACTATTCCAAAAGTAGAAATAGAAAGCCCACAGGTTCATTATTTTTTCCCCCAAAATTGTGATTTGTGTGGCTGGAGCTATAATACATTGGGTAGAGTACTTGCCTTGCATGTGGCCAACCTAGGTTTGATTCCCATTATTCCCTGAGCACCGCCAGGTTTAATTCCTCATTGAAGAGCCAAGAGAATTCCCTGAACATCACCAGGTATGGCTCCCCTAAAGAAACCAAAAAACTGTAATTTATTCTAGAAATATTCTTTGATATATGAAAATCACAAATATGTACACATATCAACTGTGCATTCATTTTGTGGTTTTATACTTATAGCATATAAAAGTAGACATTAGGATTTTGTCCTTGCATTTTACCTGACTTTATGCAGTCATGAATTAAGTTTTTTGGTGTGTGTCCAATAAAGATTATCCTTTAATTATTTTTATTTTAGATAATTCTGGTGATATACAATCATTGACTGAGTTACTACTGATAGGAACTTAGTGTTATTGATAGGTAAAGCAATGGAATGCACCAACTTTGCTTGTGAGGAGCAACTTGTATCATGATGATGGGAATAAGCATTTGATATGGTCTGTCCTGGAAACGAGAGTCCTTGTGGGAATATTAGAAAAGTATGACATCACTGTTTCTGCTGGATGAAAGCAATTCATGTCATAATCTTGGTTCTAAATCTTCAGCATTAAAAAAATGTAGCTTCTCAGGAGCTATACCCGATCAAAACTGTACTTATATTGAAGAATGTTTTATTTTTATGTTATTATGTCTTTAACTTAGATGTTAACTGACTTCCTATAACAGAAAAAGATATGCTGGCCTTATGGTAAATGAAAGTAAGAGTTTGTAACACAAAGAAGTGGCATGCAAAATGGGCTTAAGTATGTGCTTAAAGAAGCAATCTATCGGAGGTAACTGTACACAAAGGGCTTAATGTCAGCTATGGGGATTTCATAGATAAATGAGGAAATTGAAGCTCTGAGCACAGAATTCAGGGCAGCATAAGGGAAAGAAGACCCTTCAGGAAAACCAAGGTTAGGAAGAAAGGAAGGAACACATTGTCAGGATGATTAGGTATGGGTTGAAGTACTATCTCTCTGGCCCAAATGAATAATTTATTATTATTATTATTAATTATATTATTAACTTGTTGTGAATTAAAAAATTACTTATGATTAAGTTTTAAGTATACAACGTTCCAACACCATTACCTTAACCAGTTTCCCTCCCATCCTTCTGCCTGCATCTGTCACAGGCACTTTACTTCTGTTTCATTTTAATCTCTGTGGTTTGTAACACAGTTACTGGTAAGGTATCGTGCATATCACTTTAATGTTCCATATTACCACCTCCCACCCCCTTCCAAGCCTCCTACTGAATACAAATTCTCCTGTTGTTCCTATTACCTTTGGGTTTTTGTTATTCCTCTGTGTTTCTGTATACCCATCATATGAAAGAGATCATTCTATGTCTTTCTCATTCCCTCTAACTAATTTTACTCAGTGTGATACTCTCCAAATCCATCATGTAGCAGCAAATTGCATGACCTTGTATTTTCTCTTCTTTTCTTTTCTATTCTATTCTATTCTATTCTATTCTATTCTATTCTATTCTATTCTTTTCTTTTCTTTTTCTTTTTGCGTCACACCCAGCGATGCACAGGGGTTAATCCTGGCTCTGCACTCAGGAATTACTCCTGGCAGTGCTGGGGGACCATATGGGATGTCGGGGATTGAACCTGGGTCAGCTGCGTGCAAGGCAAACACCCTACCCCCTGTACTATTGCTCTGGCCCCGACCTCGTATTTTCTTATAGCTGAATAGTATTCCATTGTGTATATGTACGATAGATTTTTTTAAATACAAGCACATACTTTAAAACACTCTATTGTCATCAGATTTTAGAAAAAGGCAGCTTCTAGAGGTTGTAGGGTAAGTAATGGGCCTCTAATTTAATTATTAATAAAAAGTGAGTGAAGAATTCCATTAGTATTATTTGTTAGGTTCCTTTCTCTATTATCTTTTAGAAATTATCTAGAAATTTCTCAGATGTTCATTGAACAACAAACAATATGCTTTTTGGAATTACTTAGTCACTCTTACCTGAACATGTAATTGCAATTTGCTGCCATCACCTCATTTGTATAGTCAGTGAACTTTCAGGTCCTCCTTGTATGTTTGGGAATGATTTTAGATTTGATTATATTATTGCCATTTAATGAATGACTTCATTGATTTTGCATCCATGTATTTTACCCTGGATAGGAGAGGTCAAAATAGAATTGTTTTGAATGATTTTGCAAAAATATGTTGTAAGAAATCGAGCCTATTTACAAAGATTCTCCACATAACTATTATGCTGCTATGTACAATCTTGCCAGTATAAATGTTGCATATTACTGGGTCAACATTAATAAAAATAACAACTTACTTTCATAATTTTGAATTAGAAATATTGAATTTATACAATTAATTTTTCTGGGTTTATCTCTAGTGATTTCTAATCATGGTTACTGTAATATTTTTAGTTATTTTTAGAAACTCTTTGTGCAAACTGTAATACAGTTACAAGTTTTCTTGCCATAGTTCAATCACATCAATCATGAATGGATTGCCTCCTGATTCTAGTTTCCTTTCAAACTTTTCATGTAGGCATACTAATAGTTGTTGCATTTATTACACAGTATGTGTGCCCTGCTGTTTTTCTGCATCATCCTTTCCTCTTGGTTTTTCCCTAGTCAGTAATAACCAATACACTATGTAATTTTGTAGTAACTGCACCTGCTTAAGACTGTGTATGC